AAGACAAGTGACGTGGTGGGCAGCTGGTGGCCAGCCAAGGTTGAAGGACCACATCTTACATATTTATTTGTCTCCTTGTATATTTAAATAATATGAAAATGTTGAGGATCCAGTAAAAGAGTGAAAACAATAGTTTAGAGTAGATCACATATTTAAAATTAAGCATGGACTTTTAAATAAAGCCATCATCAAGAATATCTATTCGTGGATGGTAAATCACAGAGTCATGTCAGTAATAAGAATGCAAAGAAGTAAGGTTAGAATAAACAAGATATTTTAATCCAAGCCTCTTTGGGCAGCCTGTTCCAATGTTTCACCACTCTTAAGGTGAAGAATTTCTTCCTTATATCTAATCTAACTCTACCTTCTTGCAGTTTTAGGCCATTGCCCTTGTCCTATCACTACAGGCCTCCGTAAAAAGCCTTTATCCAGCTTTCCTCTAGGCCCTTTTTGTATATTGGAAGGTCAATACTAGGTCAGCCCAGAGCCTTCTCCAAGCTGAATAACTCCAGCTCCCTCAGCCTGTCCTCATAGCAGAGGTGCTCCAGCCCTCTAATCATCTTTGTTGCCCTCCTCTGGTGCCACTCTAGCAGATCCATGTCCTTCTTGTACTGTGGGCTCCACACCTGGACGTAACCAGTGTCCTTTGGGTTAAGTGTTGGTGTAAAATCGTATGATAAATGTTGAGAAAAAAAATAGTAGTGCAACTGCAGAGGGATAAATGACTTGCCTCCCATCTTGCAATTTTGCTATAACTCCACTCTCATTTTGAAAGGACAATATGTCCGTTTTCTAAATTATGGTAGATGGTGTCTCACTAAATATTTTCCTGCCATTTCTGTTACTATAGGATCAGTGTTTTAGATTTTAAAAGTATGGTCAACTCATTTGGTCCCCATGTGTTGCCCGGTCTAGCCGAGAGGTGGCGTCTCTGCCCATGACAGGGAGGTTGGGTTAAATGATCTCTAAGGTCCCTTCCAGCCTAGGCCATTCTATGATAAAGAATGGATGAGAGATTGTGCCTGTTGTAATAACTGCAGTAAAAGTAATTC